AAAAAGTGTAAGTATCTCCCCTTCTGCCAGTTAATTTGTTCTCTGAGCAGCATTCATGTGAGGGAGTAATGGGCAGGAGGTAAACGAGAGCAAAATGCTCATGGGGAGAAAGTGCTAAGTCTGGGGAGGAATGTTGCTGGGGACGTGGTCAGCTCTCCCTTCAAGTAGCTGGCAGAAGACTGCCCTGCTCTGCCCTGTCCAATACATCCTGTCCCCATGGTGAGCCCTATCAGATGCTGCAGAATGCCAGTCTCTTCCAGTACCCTTGGGATCGGTGCGTACATGTTCCAACTAAAATCTTTAACTCTTAGAGACTATGTTGAGGCTAAAGTATCTATTGTTGAAAAAGAACAAAATCTACGGAAACATATCTTGACTAGTGCTTCTGGCCTTTTTAAAGCTCCAGTCCGCATCTGTCTTTCCTGGGGAAACATGATCCAAGAAAATAGGACATATCAAATTCAGTGCCCGAACACTAGCTTCAGTTTACCTCGGAGAGCTCACATTTAGAGATGTCAAGAATGTCATCTGCACCGGCTTCTTTCGCCTAAAGATAAAAAAGAATTGTTTTAAAAAGTGTTCAAATAAGGGCCGAGCCCGTGGCGCACTCGGGAGAGTGCGGCGCTGGGAGCACAGCAGCGCTCCCGCCGCGGGTTTGGATCCTATATAGGGATGACCGGTTCGCTCACAGCGCTCACTGGCTGAACGTGGTGCGGCCAGTCTCAAAAAGGACAAAAAAAAAAAGTGTTCAAATAAAACACCCTCACAGAGTAGACAAACCAGGCAAAGAACCACAGAATTAAGGAGCTGCAAGGAAGCAAAGACAAAATCTGGTTCCACTAGTCCATTTGCAGGTGGCTGATGATCCCTGCTTTCCCAGAGCCTGAGGTCCAGCGGGGAAGAGAAAGTGAACAGGTAGTGACAAGTTAGCTCAGTCCAGGAGGGGAGGTGCACTTGAGGGGGGCCTCATAGTCTGGTTGGAGCCAGAGACGATTTCCTCTGGGGGTGTGGGAGGCAGATGCGAGGGAGCGTGGCTTGCC